GATATATTTGAGAAAGACAGTAAGACAGTCCGCGAGCATCTCCTTAACCACATGAATGACTCTTTATTTGATATGTTCGTAGTCCTAAAATCTACAAATATTATTTGGGATACTTTAGAGTCCAGAAATGGTGAGGACGATGCAGACAGGAAGAAGTATGTTGTCCATAAATGTCTGCAATTTCATATGTCGGACGACAAACCAGTAATGGACCAGGTTCAGGAGTACAAGATTCTAGTGGCTAATGTGCTGTGTAATGACATGAAAATGTGTGAGATTCTTCAGGCAAACATGCTCCTAAAGAAATTCCCTCCTTCTTGGAGAATTAATACAACCACCTAACACAAGAGGAAAGACCTGGCTCTGCAAGAACTGATCGATCATATACATACAGAGGAAGCCAATAGGCAAAAAACAAAAAAACAAAAAAACAAAAAAACTTTCTTCATCTTAAAATTAATTGAGGCTAATATGGCTGAATCTTCTAATGCTTCCAAAAATAAATTTAAGAACAAAGGAAAACATGTTCCTAAGGATAAAACACAAAAGAAGAAATGACTCCAAATAAAAAATACTAGTGGAAGAATCGATAAATAAAAACTAGTATGTTATTTCTACAGAAAACCTGGACACAAATTCTACTAGTGGGCCCAGAGGAAAAACAAGCAAGAACAAAAGCATGCTCCACAAGCCAACCTTGCAGAAACGAACGATATCATTAATGTCGTGGTCGTGGAAGCAAATCTAGTGGAGAACAAGTTTGATTAGATTCTTGAAATTGGAGCATCCAGACATATCTGCCAAACTGTGACCTCTTTCACGACTTCCACGACTTTGCTAGAGGTGGGTGTGTGTTTATGGGAAACCTGTCCACTAAAGTACTTGAAAAAGAGAAGATTCTCAAACTTACCTCAAACAAATCTCCATCCTTAAGTAATGCGTTATATGTTCCTTCCCTGCATAGGAATCTGGTGTCTGAAAAGTCTACTGAATCGAGTTGGACTTAGGCTTGTGTTTGAGGCTGACAAGGTTATAATCACAAAAAATGGTGACTTTGTTGGTAAGGACTATCTAGCTAACGATTTATTTGTTCTTAGCACTATTGCTACCTCTATTAATGAAACTGACTCTCGTTTTTCTTATATTGTCGAGTTTCTAGATGTGTGGCGTGGTAGATCGGGACATGTGAATCTTGTATCGATTAAAAAGCTTAGAACTTTAAACTTAATTGATGCTTCTCAACTACCTGAATTAGTAAGATGTCCTGTCTATTAGAAGTAAATTTCGCAAAAAAAAAAAACTTCTTAAACCTGTCACTGCTAGGTATACTGAACTATTAGAACTAATTCATTCTAATTTAGCAGATTTCAAGAAGCATCTCTGACAGAGAGAGGAAAATTACTATATTTCTTATGTTGATGATTTTTCTAGATATACGAGAATATATCTCCTAAAATCTAAAGATGAAACAAGTATTATGTTTTTTAAATTAAAAACTGAAGTAGAAAACCAACTAGACAGAAAGATAAAAAAGGTTGAGATTAGATAAGGGTGGTGAATATAGTGCTAATTCTCTTAAAGGAGAATTTTGTGAATCAAATGAAATTATACATGAAGTTACTGCTTCTTATTCACCTCATTAGAATGGAAGCTACCCTTTCTGCATGTTTTATTTTTAACAGAGTTCCTTACAAAAAGCTGGATAAGACACCATACAAGCTCTGGAAAGGATATTCACCCAACTCGAGCTACTTGAGAGTGTGGAGGTGTTTAACAAAGTTGGCGTATCCAACATTCAAAAAACCTACTGTTAGATCTAAAACCGTTGATTGTCTTTTTTATTGGCTATGCTCATAATAGTTATGCATATAGATTCATGAGTTCAAGTGATAATTCAATTTGTGAATATAGGGATGCTGTATTTTTTGAAAATATTTTCTTTATGATTAAAACTACTGGTAAATCTAGTGGATTTTCAAAGCAAGCATCCATATTTTTGCCCTTTACTTCTGTTGATTTGATAGATTCTGAACCTAGGACTCACACTCTGATAGATCCTGAACCTATGATAAGTAAAAGGCAAACAATTAGTAAAAATTTTGGACCTTACTTTTTAACTTCCTACCTAGTGGAAAACTTTGACAAGATATATGATCAATTTGCTTGCATATATCTGATAAATGAAGATCTCAAAACCTACTAAGAAGCTATAAATTCTTTAGATTCTAGCTTATGGAAAGAAGAAATTAAAAGTGAATTAGACTCCAGTATGAATCAAACTTGGGAAGTGGTAGATCTATCTGAAGGAAATAAAATCGCATAAATGGATCTTTAAAAGGAAAACGATACCAGATGGTGCAATAAAAAAATACAAGGCTAGACTAGTGTTTGTGGTTTACACACAAAAATATGGTATTGATTACTTCGTTATGTATTCCCTTATAACTAAAATAGCTACTATTAGATATCTGATGGCTCTTGCTGCTATTCGTAATCTAGTAATACATCATATGGATGTAAAAACGACATTCCTTAATGAGGATTTACACAGGAAGAGAATTATATGACACAACCTGAAAGTTTTCTAGTTGCTGGTCTAAAGTGTGCATGTATAAAATGTCTCTTGATAGTCTTAAACAAGCTCCTAAGCAATGGTATGAGAAATTCAATAGTACTTTGATAAACAATGGTTATAATGTTAATTGTTCTGATACATGTGTTTACTCAAAGTTTTTTGGAGTTGATTATGTGATTGTATGCCTATGTGTTGATGACATGCTTATTTTTAGTACAAACTTAGATGTTATTAATGAAAATAAGTTACTATTATCATCTTATTTTAAAATGAAAGATTTAGGAGAGGTTGATGTGATACTTGGTGTTAAGACAAGGAAAAATGACAGTGAGTTTTCCTTTTATGTCAATCACACTATATTGAGATAATACTAAATAAATTCGATTACTTTGATAAATCACCTATAAGAGCACCTTATGATGATAGCATGAGTCTTAGTAAGAATTAGGGCGATAGTGTATCTCAATCTGAATATGCAAAAATCATAGGTAGTGTCATATTTCTAATGAACTACATTAGACCAGATATTGCATACGTAGTGAGTAGACTGAGTAGATATACACATAACCCTAATAAAGAACATTGAACTACTATACATCGTTTGTTAAGGTATCTTAGAGGTACAATGAATTATCGTTTGCATTTCAACAAATTTTCTAATGTGCTAGAAAGATATTGTGATGAAAATTGGATTACAGATAATGATGAGGTAGGCTCCACTAACGGATATGTGTTTACTTTTGGTGGAGGAGCTATCTCATGAAAATCAGCAAAGTAGACATGCATTGATCGTTCCACCATGGTAACTAAGTTCATAGTACTTTGAACTATCAGGGTAAAAGGCTGTATGACTAAGAAGCCTTCTTGAAGACATGCCATTGTGAGTGAAATCTGTACTTGCATCCCTACATTGTGACTCACAGGTTGCCATAGGGATTGCCAAAAATAATGTGTACAATGGCAAGAGACGCCATATACACCTAAGACATGAAGCTGTGAAACAGTTGCTGAGATGAAATTATCTTATTGGAGTATGTAAGGTCCAAGAGGAGTCTGACAGTTCCTCTCACCAAAGGCCAAACAAGGAGGCTAATTCAGGAATCCTCAGGCTGTATGGGACTAAAACCATGATGTTCTTCGCTTACGTGAATTGATAGCCTTTCTTCTAAGTGGTCCATGTATGGATTTGATAGATGTAGTGAAACATTGTGTGAATCTATAGCCCTTCTTTTGGGTGGTCCATGTACGGACTAGATGAATGTAGTGAAACATTGCGTGAATCTATACTAACCCGTATTTAGGTGGTCCATAAATGGACTTGATGGATAATATTCAAAGTCTTCATAGCTTAGGTTTGTGTGGTTTATCTATTATAGACTTGATGAAGTAATATCGTGATTGTGAAGGTAAGACCGCCATCTATGAACGAACTTATGATAATCTTTTTAGAGCTTTCACGATGATCCAAGATTTTATGTGCATGACCATTAATAGGATTTAAACGTGTTGTGGGGGTATCAACCATAACTACTAGAAGACCATAACTACTAGAAGTTCAAGAGGTAACTCACTTTCATTACTTAGGTTGTCGCATTACTTCACTATGCATTAATTCAAATCGAAATATATTAATTTTTAAGTTTACATTATTCTTGCTCAAAAAATTCTTTATTCTCTTCTTTTGTTTTACTATTTGTCATTCTTGGGGGATTATTGGAAATGGTAATATAAAACCAACGCAGTTGTCCCACATGGAAAGTTTATTCATTGGGTACATGATTTATAAACCACAGACTTAGGGTGTACTTATAAACATGGTTTGGGGTAAGCCCAAATCGTATTCCACACGTGCGATGCGGTCGTCTGGTTTTAAGATAAAGTACGCTCTTTAGTATCGAGGTCGTATCGAATTTTTCTTTCAAGGAAGTTGTTATGCCTACAACACAACGACAATTTCTTTTAAACCTTCCAATTTTGTTCTTATCATCTCCAACAAAAATCACTTCTTTGAAGATGTCATATATTCAAATCTACCTTTCCGTTTTGTTGCAGTATATTCTAATAAGAACATAGGTAATTTATTTACTATTATTACCATTATTTTTTATTTATTATTTTTTTTGAATTACTATTATTACCATTATTAAAATGCATAAGTTTGTGTCAACTTGATCATAATTTAACTAGTTAAGACAACTATCTCCAACTAAAAGATCGTGAGTTCAAATCCCGACTCCCACATATTGTACTAAAGAAGAATCCCTACTTCCGTGAGATACCTTTTTATTTATTTTGACCATTTATGTGGTTGTCGAGGGAAAAAAAAAAAACTCTTAAGAGAATTAATAAAGAAGAATCGAACCATCAGTTTTAAATTGGGCATTAGTTGGGTTTGGTTCTCGGTTTAGAGTAGAATTGAGCGAACCGAACCGATGTGCACGCAGCTTATCAGATCACCTCCAACTCCAACTCCAACCCCAAAGCAGAGCCTTCGTCTTCATGACCTGATTTCACATTCTGCAATGGCTATGTCAATGCCTTACTGCACTTCATCCTCCATTTCTTCTGTTTCTCCCCTCCCTTTCCCTTCAAATGGCCGCCGCGCAGTTACGTTTCCCGAAGCTTCTCTCTCTGCCGTCAATTCTCCGTCTACCACTTCCTCCGCCGCCCGGAACAAGCTTCTGCTCGAAGTCAAGGATTTAACTGCCGTAATTGCAGAATCCAAGCAGCAGATTCTCAAGGGCGTTAATCTTACTGTCTACGAAGGAGAGGTCAGTTCAAATTAATCTCCACTATCAGTGTAGCAAGTGGGTTTCTCCAATTTATCATATGCGATGTTGTTCTACAATGTTTTGGATTTTTTTTTTCTAGATTTCTTGTTCGTTATATAATTCGGAGTAATTCTTCCTGTCCCTAGTAGGTTCACGCCATCATGGGGAAGAACGGTTCTGGAAAGAGCACATTTGCAAAGGTCCGTATTGTAATTGTTTGTGTTCCTTTCATTAATCCTCGTTGAAAAACTTATCGTGTTCCTTTCAACTAATAAGCTTAGAGGTTTATTCTTTTGACTCTGTTTATACTTGGAATGGAACTGCTCGCATATTGTTATAACTAATTAGTAATGAAATACTGCGTTAGAATAAGACATGTACTTGGTGCAGACGAAAATAACAATCGCCATCATAATTTTTTATTATCGTCGTTGTCAAAATGCCCTCACAATAGTCTCTATGTTATTGTTATCTGCTTTGGAGATTCTTTCGAGTTATCCACTAAATTTAAGTGAAATTTTGTGAATTAAGGTACTTGTTGGGCACCCAGATTATGAGGTTACAGGTGGTAGCATTATGTTTAAAGGGAGTGATTTGCTTGAAATGGAACCAGAAGAAAGGTCGCTTGCAGGGCTATTTATGAGTTTCCAGTCCCCGGTTGAGATTCCAGGTGTGAGCAATATCGACTTTCTAAATATGGCTTATAATGCACGAAGAAGGAAACTTGGTCTGGCAGAGTTGGGGCCAATTGAGGTATGCATTTTCGTTGGAAGTGCGCCTTTATCTTGGTTTATCCACTCATGGTTGAATGTCTAGGTGCTTATTGAATTCACAATATAAATTTTATGCATCTACTGAAATGTTGATTATTTTCCCTTCCTGTTAAACAAACTTGCTTTCGTTAATATTAATGAAAGTTCAGAAGAAGGCCGCACTAAAAATAGGCTCAGCAGCCAACACAAAGACTACAAAACAAACAGAAGAACACAACACATTACGAGATATATTTGCTAATGACCATGTTTACTTATGCAAATGGGCACATTCAATCAGTTTTTGAACTTCAACTTGGACATAGGAATTCAAGCACCTGTATACTATTGTTTGTTTTCTGCTGTCCACATAGATACAACTTGTTTTGAGGTTTTTTTTCCAATAAATATCCGGAATTCAAATCTTCCATTATATTCTTGAACAATGAAAGTTCTGTAACTTTTCATATATATGTAAAAAAAGGAGAATTAAAAAAAAAAACAGAAAAAAAGGAAAGAAAAGAATCACCATACCCCCTTAAGTTGAACATGTTCATAGTCTTTTTCAAGTTAGTCCATGTTAATAATTTGAGATGTAGGATTGTAATGATAGAAAAACCACTATCCTCTCAACGGTCAAGAAGTTTGAACTGCAGCCATGAGCACCTTTCTCTGGTGATAAGGCTTATCAGCAGGAAAACTTTTGTTGGAACTTGCTGAAGAAGCTAATGGAACATGATGGATGTATGACTGTGCTTCGGGTAGTAGGTGATTCTTGAAAGTAAATTTTGAAAGAAGACGCTATTTATTTCTGCTTCTTTTTCCTCCTCTGGAAGAGTCAAAATCCTCAAATTACTTTCTAGATAAGGCTTATGTTACATTTAACGAACTCTTGGGATTAGGTTTCTGATTTCTATCAAAATGGGGAAAAAAAACCCCAAGTTAATTCTGAATAATGTTTCATAAATAGGTTAACTTGAGTATGTAGATATTCCAATTTAAAGTACTCTCCCACTTTTCAAAATCTCAGTGGTATTTCACTTTAAAGCAATAGTGTTCCAGTTGATATAACAATGACAAGATAAATAATAAACTAATAATTAGAAAAATTAGGCCAACATTTCTAGGATTTTTAGTTTTCAATCCCATATTTATGAGTTTTGGGGGAATCCTTAGGTTGGTGGCCAAAAGGTGTTAGTGTTCTTTAGTTTTCAATTCTGAATAATGTTTCATGAATTGGTCAACTTTATTACTCTACCTCTGGTGATTATTTAATTAATGCAATTTAGAGACTATTAAAAATTTAATCTATTGCCTTGCTGATTCACTTCTTTATTTTCTTTCCAGTTTTATGCATACATCTTCCCCAAACTTGATCTTGTGAACATGAAGACAGATTTTCTCAATCGAAACGTCAATGAAGGCTTTAGTGGTGGTGAAAGAAAGCGTAATGAAATTTTACAACTTGCGGTAAGGTTATTACTTTTACTATGTTGTTCCATATCTCGACAAGAAGTAATGTTGTCTTTCTATTCACGGTGACATATTAATATGTTATTTACTATTATTATTATTATTTTGATAAGAAACCAACTTTCACTGAGATAAATAAAAGTAATAATTTTTGTCCCCCTCTTACTTTGTTTCTCTCTAAAGTATTTTCTCTCTTTCTAAATTCTCCCCGAGATAAATAGAAGTAATAAAGTAAAGACCTCCCAAAAAAGAAACACAGAAGTCCACTAATCTAACAACAACAATTATAGAAAACAACTCATTAGTGGTTGTTCTTCAGCTGAATCAGCTCCGTCTTTTAACATTTTTTTTAATTTTTTTAATTTTAATTTTAATAGAGTTATGGTTTTAGCTCTTGGCCAGAGTAAACTTTTTCTCCCATTTTACAAACTACGGCCCTAACAATCTCTTGACGATCTCTTGACAAGTTGGAAGATTTTTTTTTGGGTAATTGAGTCTCTGGGGTTATTTTGTATATTTCATATCATCAATGGAATATTCACTTCTTACCGAAAAGAAAAATAAATAAATGGTAGTCCTACCAAAAGGATTGGGCAACTAGAGGCTTAGACAAGGGTACCCCTTTCTCATTCCCCTTTTTGTTGGTGGACATTCTCAGCAGATGATTTTGAGGGGGTGGATAAGAGTGTGATCGAGGGTTGTAGGATAGGTAGAGATAGTCTACACATCTCACACTTGCAATTTGCATATGATACTATCTTTTTTTTCCTTTGGTAGGGAAGACTCTTTCATCAATCTCAATCAGATTCTTTTTGTGTCGAGTCTATCTCGAGGTTGAAGATCAATAGAGGGAAGTGATCTAAGGAAGGTAGGTGGTTGGGCTTCTTTGGTGGGTTGTGAGGTAGGTTTGCTTCCTTCCTCTTACTTGGGACTTCCTTTTAGGCATAATATTAGGTGTTCGGAGTTTTGGAACCCCATCTTGGAAAAGTTCGAAAATGTCTTTCCTCGGGGGACAGAGCTTATTTTCTATGGGGCAAGTTAACTCTCATCCTATTAGTCTTGTGTAGTATCCCGTCTTACTTCTTCTCTACGTTTAAGGTTCTTATTTCGGTTAGCAAAAACTTGGAGATGATTTTTAGAGATTTCTTGTTGGAGGGTTAGAGGAAGGCAGAGGGTCTCATTTAGTGAATTGGGAAGTCTTTTTGAAATTACTGGATAGTGGAGGTATGAGAATTGATAATTTGAGGCTTCGTTTTTTTTTTTTGAACAAGATACTAACTTCTCATTGAAATAATGAGAAAGAACAAAATGTTCAAAGATACAAACTCTCGAAAGAGTGAGAAAAGAAATAACAAAAATTAAAAAGGTACAATAAAAGCTCCCCAATTAGAACATATCAAGCTAGGGGTGTAATTTTTAAAAATAGAAGATAAGGAACACCATTGAAAAACTTTGAACTTACACCATTGAGCTATATTAATAATTTGAGGCTTCGTAAGGAGGCCATTTTAGCTAAATGGCTTTGGCAGTTCCTTTTTTTGGAGGCTGATTCTCTATGGCATAGGGTTATTGTTAGTAATATGGTCCCATCCCGTGTGAGTTGGGGTCAAAAGGCATTTTCAGAAACCTCGAGAGATTCATTTCCTATGGGGTTCTGTTCTTTTCTCCGTTCGTAAAATGTCTTGTGGGGAAGGGTCTCGAAACTTATTTTTTGGGAAGACACTTGGTTTAGCATGACACCCTTTTGTTCTAGATTTCCTTGTCTTTATCATTTGTCCGGTACAAATCTATCTTCGATGGCTTTAATTCTTCCTTCCTTAGGTTCTTCTTTGTTCTCGTTTCACTTTTGTCGTTCCTTGTGAGACAGAGAAATGTATGATGGGACCTTCTTTCTTTATTAGGGGATGTTTTATTAGATAGGAGGGAGAGATCGTCGTGTTTGGGTACATGAGTGGGTTTTCTTGTAGCTCTCTCTGTTTTTTTTTTTTTTTATATGAAACAAATATTTCATTGATAGTATGAAATATACAAAAGGCCATGAAGGCAATTACAAGAATGCTCTCCAACTTGTAGTAAGATCATTTAGAGAGTAATTGTTGAAGGGGGGTAAAAACATTTACACCAACTAAGAGCAACCACAATAACTCTATCAAATTGTTGAAGGGGAGGTCCTCGTGTTTCCGTCTTTTGTGTGATCCCTTCCCCTTTGGTTGCCCTTCGTTCTCCTTGGAGTGGAATGTCAAAATTTCAAAGAAGGTCAAATTCTTTAGTTGTTTGTTTTTGCTTGGGAGGGTTACACCTTGGACTGTATTGCGAGACATTATTCTTTTGTGGTGGAGCTGTAATGGTTTGTTCTTTGTGGGAACGTGACTGAGGATCTGGATCATCTCTTTTGGGGTTGTTAGTTTGCTTGCTTTGTTTACTATTAGCTTCTTTCAGGCATTTTGTGTTTACTTGGCTAGGAGCAGAGAGGCAGGTCTATGGTAGAGGAGGTCCTCGTGTTTCCACGGTTTGGGGACAAGGCTTGAATTTTTTGGCAAACTGGTTTCTTTGGCGATCTTTGGGGTCTTCGGCCAAGAGAAGAATAGAGAATTTTTAGGGATGTAGAGAGATCTTGGGGGAGGTGTGGTCTTTAGCTAGGTTACCTAGCTATAGGTTTAATGTCTACATGGACCTTAGACTCTATAGACTTTTGTAATTATCCGTTAGGTCTTATTATTTTAGATTGGAGTCCCTTTCATATTGATAGTTGTCGGGCTCCCCTAGCGTTGGGCTATTTTGGGAATTTCTTTAAAAAAATTTTTAGCACCTTAGCTTGTTCTTTTGTTTGTTTGTTTTTTTTTTCAACGAAGGTAGTCATTAAAATTAAAGAAAAAAAAGAAAAAAAACTTCAATTGTTCAAAATAAAAAATACTGGATAATTACAAAAGAATTTTGTAGAACGCCTAGGGCCTAGGGGAGCCATTTAAGTGAGCCACACTCCAATCCTCCGTAAAGATTCCTGATTCTCCAATTTTTGGAAAAAAATTCCGATCACTACTATGGGAATGGGGATTGATAAGTTCCTCCATCTAACTACTACCTTAGATTGAGCTAGTAGTTATTGGGGGCTGCGAGAAATGGTAAAAAGTTAGAGATAATGAATTTAAATTATGGTAGTCACATATCTAAGATTTAAAGTCCTGCAAATTTTCTTGAAAAACAAATGTTGTAGAGTTAGGTGGTTGTCTCATTAAAATAGTTGAGATGCACGTGAGCTAGTTCAGACTCATGGATGTTAAAGAAAAAGAAAAAAAAGCACCTCGATCTTATCTTGATAACCTTGACATAGAGCCAAACTAACCACAAATGTTTTAAGAAATCTATCCCAAATTTTTGTAGCAAAATGACCTTTACTAAATGTATAATCTTAGTCTTCCAAATGATTCAAGTATCCGTTTTTTGCACTCATCATTCTTCTCTGACACTTGTCAACTTCAATTGCAAAAATCTTAAATTAAATTTTTTAAAAAGAGAACTTCGAGATTTTTTTCATTAAAGCATGAAGATGGAGGGGAAGAAGGTTACTTCATGATGTTTGGTATGAGACTGTAAGAACTGTGCAGGAGTTATGGAAAGCCGGAGCAATAGAATGCTCTCTTCTCTCTCTCATTAGATCTTCATTCTCTGTTCGTTAGTGAAGAATGAAGATTCATAGTTAATTTTACGTTCAGCCAGTTTTTAGCTTCTTTGCACTTTCTTGTTATAAAACAAATCATGTATTTAAGCAGCTGTTCAGTGGAAGATAAGAATTTATTGATTAGATCGTCTAACAGTGGATTCACAATGGAGGAAACATGCAAGAATAGAAATTTTCAGATTTTTATCCTTTGGAATCAGCTACAATGGATGGAGGAGTTTATAACTGGGATGAAAGCAAAAGATTACTTGGAAGAACTTCATTAAAAAATTATGCCCAGATATAGAGTTATTTCAAGACACTAAGTTGGAAGAGGTGAATAATAGATTGATGGTTGTTCAAATATATGTGGAGTTCAAAAGACTTCACATATTGTTTGGGATGAAAATCGCGTTAAAGTCTTTGAAGCTCAGAAAGGCAGACATTATTTGTCTAATAACGTTGAATTTCAAGAAGTTAAGCCTCCTTTTGTCTAATCTGGATTTTTCAGCCTTCATGTAAGGGATGATGGCAGAATTTGGCCGATTGTTGTAATGGTTGAGGTACAAAAGATGCTCTGTGGTGGTATCATTTTGCTTTGGTCATTACAGTTTTGCAATCTGTAGGAGCAGTTTACATAATCTTCCTTATGGCTAGCTACATTGTTCATGATGGAACTTCAAATGGTCGTGGTTTAGGTGGCTTCAAATGATAGAAGATGGAAATGAATGCTTACTGTCTTGATGTGCTTTGTCGGAAGTGTTCAGTGTTTTACCGGTATGGATGGTATAAGGTGGTCATTTTATGCAGCTCAAGATCATGAGTGGAAAGCACACTATGAGTGGATAATTAATTATATGCAAATTACACTTGAAATGAAATTTGTACCAATTAGGGTCCTTTTATATCTCTCCTTTTTAGGTTGTTTGAGCCTTTTTCACTCCCAACGGTAGTTTCTTTCCTTGTTTCTTTTCATTAATCAGTGGACCGCTAGTTTCTTGTTATAAATAATAAATAATAATAATAAAGATAGAGTTGACCTGAAGGGTGAAAGAATGGATGGCATCTACTCTATGTTATATGGAATTATAGTTGATTAGCACAAAAGGAGGGGAAAAGTGTGAGAAAGAACCTATGCTATGGGCTAGGTAAGATTAATACTATAATAAAATATTATTGTTTCTTAAATTGTTATTATCTTCGCAGGTTTTGGGTGCAGAGATGGCTATACTGGATGAAATAGATTCTGGGTTGGATGTTGATGCACTTCGTGATGTAGCAAAAGCAGTGAATGGGCTTTTGACACCAAATAATTCTGTGTTAATGATTACTCATTATCTACGACTTCTGGAATTTATAGAACCTTCCCGTATACATATCATGGTAACTATTCTGGACATTATAAAAGCATTCAATCAATATGGTTGTTTTGGAAGTTAGAGACATATATGCTAAATTGGTGTCTATTTTGCTAGTTGATAGATTTCTTTTCCTTTTTTTTTTCTTTCTGTATTTTTTTGGGGGGTTGGGGGTGTAGCTGTGAAAGGGAATAGTAGCTGTGAAAGCATTCAAACCTATGCATCGCTATTGGTTTCTTCTTATTTCTCGTTTGTGCACCTTTTGCCTGTCTTCTGGTTTGTATGTGTACTTTGGTGACTGAGTATCCTATTCCACTGACCTGAATTTTTCTCAAGTGACTGGTAACTGACTTAGTTATTCTACTCTACATTTGATCTTTTCAGGAGGATGGGAAAATTGTAAAGACTGGAGACATCTCGATAGCGAAACTCCTCGAGGCAGAAGGGTACAAAGCAATTTCTACTTCATAAATAGCATGTACATTGGTAGGTAGTTCTATCTCTTCTTCATGTTCTCTCTCTCTCTCTTTTTCTTTTTTTGGATAATTATACAATCCAATTCACTTGTCAGTGTTTCTTCGATCTCGATTTTGACAATCTTAAATATGTAGCTTGTCTTGAGCCAGTAATGCAGTCTGCATGGTTAGCGATTCAAACTAGTTATGTATCAGTTCTACTAATTCGTACTTGCCTTTGTACTCATATGTTTATTTGGGGGAGTTGGAAGTTGGTAATAAAGCATTATAAATAGTTTCAAGAGATACATTGGATGGTTGCTATTTTGCCCCATTTTTCTTCTTGAATTCAATGCTGTTTTGGCCTGGATGAATGCTACATTTGTATTATAAAGGGAAAATTGCATTAACAACTTTTGAACTATGGGGATTCCCACTCTCAAACTTTTAATTTGTGTAATTACCCTTAAAAGTCGTTAAACTGCGTCACTGCAACTTGAAAAATACGCGAACCAATCTTCGAGAAACCCTTGATGCCCCTGAGTTTGGGCCTTGGGGCGGGTGCAAGTACCCCTGCACCCATTCTGGGTATAGGAGAGCAAAACTTCGACTCCTAATTATCCAAAAGAAAAAAAAAAAAACATGAACCAATATCGAATCACCAACTAGAAAGATTTGTTGCTGCTAAATCTCAGATTACCTCTAAGCTACTTGAGACATTATTGCAGTTATACTTCCAAATTAACGAGATTGTTGGAGCTGACTTGACTTCAATCACTAATGTGCCATCGAAGTAGGGTTTAATTGCAATAATTTTGAAACCTTAAGGAATTATTGCTCAAATTGAACACGTGAGGGTATAATTATAACAATTGGTTTTTGCATTTGGAAAATTTAAATAGATGGCTAAATTTTGCCACACGTTTTTTAAAATGTCTATTAATTTTAAATTTTGCACAAATGATTAAAGGGTATTTTAGGAGTTTTATAAAAGAACGTAGTTTTCCATTTAAACGATTTGGGTACAACGATTCGTTTCCCATCTCATCGTTTTGCAATTGTTCTACTATATCTTCTTAATGTGTATATATATATATTTGCATCAATTGGTATATATACCTAACCACTAAGGAGTATATGCTGTCACAGATTCTAGGAAAATAGGTGATGCTTCTTAAATTTGTAGCTTTCGGGCGTGTATCGTCATTAGATTCAGTTTCTTAAACTTCAGTTATTTTTCTTATGTTCATCGGTGGATTCATTATTCACTACTCTCTTCATTAAACGTTGTATCGTTCTTTAAAACATTACAAAATTTATCAGAATTAAAAGGTTAATAAATGTATATACCAATTAAAAAAAATCAAAATTAGAATTCAATACACATATATATCACCATGAAACTCAATTATGTTAATACATGTATATAGCAATTCAAGAATTAACAAAATACGAAAGTTAATACATGTATATACAACTATACAACTCAAATATCATAAGTAAAATGTCAATACATGCATATACCAATAATTACCTCACTCCTTGACTATCTTGAGACCCTTTCCTTTTCCTGAAATATACGAGTACAGTTAGCTCAGTGAATCTAATTTGTAAATATTACTGTAAAAATTAACAGACAAGAAATATATAAACTACTGCATCTATACATCTTTTTCACTTTCTAAGTTGATTTTGCACGATTCCTTTGAACGTCTTATTATACCAGTAGCTTTTAATCATTGTCTTGATGTTCCTCCTCTAACTGTTACCATATCTATAGATTCTATTTAGAATTTAAGCTATATAAATATAGTAAGTTTGTTGTAGTTGTAAATATATACTTCTGAGATCTAGTTATAAACAAAAGACACATGTTGGTCCCACACGTGTATTTTTTTAAATACCCTAAAATATAGGAAAACCAAAAATATCTTTTTAAATACCCCTAAAATACCCAAAATCTGAACAAAGGGTCTTACCTTCCTCGAACAGTTGCTAGAAGATGGAAGTTGGGCGGCAAATTGGAAACATATCGAAGCGGCAGTAGGTGGATCTAGGGAGGCCGGCGGATCATATCCGCCTTAGGCGAATCTGGTCGGGTGGCGGGACGGTAGATCTGGTTTGGGACGTGGCGCATCAAGAGATATGGTACGTGTTGCGGCCAGCGGGGAGGGTGGCAGCGGTTGGGTGCAGCGGCGGCNGGGTCTGGTTTTGGTTCGTGGACGACGGCGTGAAGGTGAGCAGCGCACGGATCTGCTTCGTGAGGTGAGCAGCGGGATGTGATGGTGGCCTTGAAGGTGAGAGGTGGGATGGCGGCTGCTTCGTGAGAAAGACAATGGTTGTGGGGCGTATGAAGTTGCCTGAGACCAAAAGGTGGGAAGACATAAAACCCTAATTTCTCTAACTCAAGTCAAAGGTGAGAAGTAAATTTTATTATTTACCTAGTAATAATCTTATTTATCCCCTATTTTGGAATTTTAAAGGGGTAAATTTCAAAATCTACCCAATGCAATTTTAATAATTTTTTCTTAAACCAACTTTCAAATTATGAAATTCTATATTAGATTTAAGTTAATTATTTAAATTTCATTGATTTGATTAGATAGAATTGATTCCAAAAAATGAAGGCGGGTGGTTTTGGTATTAGTTAAAAATCCTAAATCCCTAAAATTAATTATGCGTATATATACCTAATTGATTACAAGGCTATATTTGTCTACAAAATATTTTAGAATTTAACAGAAAAATCAATTAGCCATTTTTAGCCATTCCTGCACCTTTGCATTTTTACCTATTACGGAAATAGAAGCCCTCAACGACAGAACCTTGCGGAGGAATTCTTATGTTTTCAGAGCATTGAATTTTTACCAATGTTTGTGTGACTCAAATTGAGTTTTCCAGCTTGGTGATATTTATGGTTGTGGGTTCATTGAGACTAATGATTTAGATGTGAAAAAGGTTGAATAAAAAAGTTTCGAGGCCGCCAACATGAAGTTAGCTCAAAGTAATTGATATCTATGTTTGACCAAGAGATTATAAGTTTGAATTCTCCTCTCCTCGTACTAAAATAAAAAGAAAACTTCAATGTCATTTTTATAGTTGTGGGTTAAATCACGTGTATAATAATTGCATATATATAAGAGGAATTGTCCTTCGTGGGTCAGAGATTTGATTTTTTTTTGTTTATCCCGAATTTGCCCTCAATGAATGCTATTTGATTTAATGGAATTATGTTTTATTTTAATAATTAGATTTAATTAGATTTCAAAAGTTTCCATATTTAGTTGAACCATAATATATTCAAATATTTTAAATTCACCCTGGTGTGGACCCCATTCCATTTTCTTCGATTTTTCTCCCATCAATAAGATTTCTATATCCATCCAATTGTAATAAAGTTGTTGGGAAATTTAGATGAATAGACATTTTTGAGTATTCATTTCTAGTGACTCTTTAGAGAACCCGGGTTTTTCAGGCATTCTTGGATACCAATTCCTACCTCTCTCGTCTTTTTTATCTCCCTCTCCCCTCCTTCCCCTCCTCTCTCTTACTTTTCACTTTTGTCTCTCCTTCATTATTATTTTTCTTTCATAAAAACTTTCTTCTTTCTCCTCTTCTACCCACTCTCCGTTGTCTCTCTCTCCTCTTTCTCTTTCTTCTTATTCTTGTCTAGTCTCTCCTCTCTTCTTCGATTCTTCATCCTTTATATTTCTTTCTCTTCTATTAAATTTTTACTAATTAAACTTGTGTACAAACCATGTACAAATTATTTTGGGGAAGGAGGAGAGAGGGAGTAAGAGAGAGGAGGGGAAGGAGGAGAGAAGAGGGTAGGAAAGTAATTTGGTATCTAAGGATGTCTAGAAAACATGGTTTTCTAAAGGTTACTACAAATCAATACTCCCTTTTAAAATGCCTATTCATCCAAATTTTCTTTCCCATTCTCTTTTTCCACCCTCGATGTAATCCTGATTTCGAATTTTCCAACTATTTATATTTTTCAAATTTATTGGTTTTTGTTTGAATATTTCAGCGTATATTTTTTTTTTCGATGTTTTTTTTCCAACATCTTATTTTATGATAAACATATACTCCTACAAAATATTATTTTTTATATTTTTTCCTATCATTATTTTTTTTTCCAACATTTTATCGCATGTCATTTATTTTCAATAGTACGATAAACATATACTCATCCAAAATGTTATATAATACATATTTTTTATTACTATATACTAAACTATTAGATTATATAATATATTCCAACGACCATTTTATAATATATATTTTCCATTTTAATCTTCTAATACTGATAAACATATACTCCTCCGTAAAGTTATATAATATTAATATATACTTTTTTATTGTTATATACTAAATTAAAAGGTTATATAATATATACTTTTTATTATTGTTATATACTAAATTAAAAGGTTATATAATATATATATTTTTTTTTTTAATAACATAGACTTTGATAATAATATATCCCAATTTGTTATATAATATACCTAGTATATTTACATTTTTCTCCATTGTGACATTATCTATATTTTATTCTTTGAAATAAAATCATAGGTCTTTTATTACTTTTTTCTCCATTCCCCTCCATAACACCAAAGAAACGGAAAACCCCTAACCCACCACAAATGACGATCTCCAGCAACTGGCAGCGCGTTCCCAGATTCGAATTGTAGTGGCGGCGACGTCCCTCCACGACGGTGCATTAGCGATGTCCCTCCACGGTGCTGGTTCTACAGTCATGGCGGCACCTATGGTGTGGCAGTCCCATGAACCCGACAACCGACAGTCTCATGCCAGATTTGCAGCTCAGAGATTTTTTACTCGGCAGCAGTGACAGATATTTTGGCTGTCGTTGTTCTGGTTGTACGTGTATTTAGAAATTGCCCACGAGAAATACACCCATTGCTAATGGAAAACGCCAAGAGCGAACTATCCTCTAAGTTACTGTCGTCTATTGAAGGGAGGGGGTTTGAGGATTTCCATCAAATTGAAAAATAGGGAAGCAATATTTTAGGGGAAAATAGGGAGGCAAAATTTTAGGGATTTGAATGATGCCCAATATTTAATTTAATTTTTTTCTGTTTTTCGATTTTGTATTTATATTTTCATTGAAACTATATTCCAAATGATAAATTGATAATTTTCGAATGGACTCCATCCATTATGGGCAAATCTTTAGATAATAGTGTAAATTTTTAATAGTTATGCTATTTTTGTAATTTAAAATCCCACATAGACTAATTGTATACTTATCCCTATATATAATATGCACACTTTTTATGTGTCA